CACAGAAGAGGCTTGCACAACCAGCCAAAGACATAGGGCACCACTGCTGACGGCGACGACGAAATCGAGGCGCCGTGTCCCCACGCGCGCGAGTGGCAACGTATTTGCTTGACATGGCTGCGCTCCCAGAATGATCCTCAGCACTGGATGAAATGACATCACATCAGACCACACAGTGGGGATAAAAAACAAAATGATTACCTGGGCAGGGCGGGAATGGCTACCTGCCCTCAGAAACATCAGCAACAGCTAGACATTCTGCTCAGAGGAGCAGAGAGGCAATGGCGTGGTTGAGAAGCTGAGGGCATGTGGCTGTGTCCTAGTCCCCAGCCAGGGCTGGGCAACGAAGACCTGCATCACGGTAAGAGTAACCTATAGTCCACCAGTGGGATGGTGTCTCTGCCCGATGCAAGTTGGCGCATCAAGGTCTCACGCACAGGCTAAAGTGATGAACCTGACCACTAACAGGCTTTCCAGGTAGGGATTCGATCAAAATAAGAGGGAGTGCCTAGGGGTAAGGTTATATAGGTAACGGAAAAAGAAAAACCTTCACTAAATGATCATTAATGTTTATACATCCAGTCTAGTTTTGACTACGTGAGCCTACTTCTCTTTAAGAAACATCGAAGGACCCACTGTAAGTTTACCACCCAATAATGCCGAGGCCTTGTGAGGTCAGTAGCCCCGCCAGTTGAGCGCTCTTTTCATCGCGAGAGACAAGTGCTCTCGGAAGGACTTGAGTTCAGCAGCGCCAACGCTACACACGGGTAGTGGTTGCTGATCCTCGCTGGTGTTCCTAGACCTGGACGACACAAAAGTGAAAGCCCAAGGAGCTGTGGCTGACGGCCTTTCTGGAATCCTTTCCTTTTTTTTTTCTTTTCTTTTCTTGAGACGGAGTCTCGCTCTGTCGCCAGGCTGGGAGTGCAGTGGCGGATCATTCGCGCAGCGTGCAAGCTCCGCCTCCCGGGTTACGGGGACTTAGCCCCGGGATCTGGTAAGGTGGCCCGGGGGCGATTACCATTCTCCTGCCTTTCAGCCTCCAAGTACGCCTTGGGCGACTACAGGCGTCCACCACCACACCCGGCTAATGTTTTGTGTTTGCTAGAGACGGGTTTACACCGTGGTCAGCCAGGATGGGTCTCGATCTGACCTTGGGGATCGCCCCAACCTCGCCTCGCCAAAAAGGTTGCTGGGATTACAGGCGTGAGCCCTCACGCCCCGCCGGGAATCCTTTCTGTGAAGCCTGTCACTGCTCCTTCCTAAGCAGCTCTTCAAGGGACTGGGATCTTAAGATTTTCCAGGGATCCATGGTCAGAGTTTTTCCCAGCTCCCTCAACTGAATCTGAACCCCCACAGGAGAAATGTAAACCACGGTACCCGTCTGTACCCAACATTCGGGAGCACACCTTTCCTGTAGAAGATCATGCCAGCTCGGCAGCCTCGCAGGGTCTTGTGAGTGGTGGTGGTCACCACGTGGCAGTGTTCAAATGGGGAGGGCACCACGCCAGCCACCACCAGCCCGCTGATGTGTGCCATGTCCGCCATGAGATACGCCCCGTTCTCATCTGCAATCTTCCGCAGCCGGGCATAGTCCAGGTTTCGGGAGTAGCAGCTGGTTCCTGAGACAGGAAAAGTGACACAGCTGCATCAGAGATGTCCACGGGCCAGCTGAGTTGGCTTCACAGTGGCCTCTAGATACATAGATCTGAAAGCCCAGAGATTTCTTCCCCTAAAATCTCAGAGCAAAAATGGAGAATGCCCTCAAAAAGCACCTCTGTGCTAAAGGCAACCACTCTGTCTGACTCTTCAACGTCTTGGTGGTTGAGATTTCCCCAACTACGTTGGCGCATCAAGTCTCACCACAGGCTAAATGATGACCTGACCACTAACAGGCTTTCCCAGGTAAGGGAATTCGAAAATAAAGGGAGTGCCTAGGGGTAGGTTATAAGGTAACGGAAAGAAAAACCTTCACTAAAATGATATTAATGTTTATACATCCATGTCTTCTAGTTTGACTACCGTGAGTCTTTCTCTTTAAGAAACATGACGGACCACTGTAAGTTTACCAGAATAATGCAGCCTTGTGAGGCCTCCCAGTAGCCCCCAGCCAGCCATGTACCCTCCTTTCATCCAAACACCTGCCTCTCGAGGGAAGGATTAGTTCAGCGACCGGCACCATCCTAACACGTAGTGGTTGCTGATCCCCCTCCTGTGTTCCTAACACCTGGACGCACAAAAGTGAAGCAGGAGCTGTGGCTGACGGCCTCCTTCTGGGGAATCCTTTCTTTTTTTTTCTCCAGCCTGGGTGACAGAGCGAGACTCCATCTCAAAAAAAAAAAAAAAAAGAGTCTCCAAGATGTGCTGAAGACAAAACTCATGTGGCTGAAGATGGAGAACAAGGTTCCTTTCTGAGAAAAAGTTAACCATCAATAATAGCTACTATTGAGGCATAATCTGTAACAATTAACATCTATCTAGAGCTTTTAGTGAGCCAAGAACTGCTCTAATCACTTTACATAAATTCATTTAATCCTCAAAAGAACAGTCCAAAGGGACAGGTACTATTATTACAGTCCCCACTCTAGAGGTGAAGAAATGAGGCACAGAGAGGCTGCACAACCAGCCCAAAGTCATACAGCGGGTGTGCAGCGGAGCAAGTATTTGCTCTGACAGGCTGGCTCCAGAATCCCTCAGCACTGGGTGAAATGAATCACATCAACACACAGTGGGGGAAAAAAACAAATGACTCCTGGGCAGGCGGGAATGGCTACCTGCCTCAGAAACATCAGCACAGCTAAAGAATTTGCTCAGAGGAGCAGAGCAGGTTGTACAGAATCTCTTTGCCAGTCTTGGGACTGTCAAGAGATTTGACTCTTTTTATCTTGATTGTAATGATACTTACAGCCTAGACGATGCGCTGGACGCCAGTATCAGCTACTCCAGGTCAGAGCGCACAGGTAGGAGTACTCGCCTCCTGCACCACCGTTTAGATCATCATGAACTTTGCAAATTCAGTCCCTATGAGGGCTGCTCAAGGGACACAGAGAAGGGGTAAGGGAGAACCACAGGCCTGCGTCCCCGCACAGAACCGCCTATCGATAACTTGTGAAAACACGTGGAAAGGGCGTCCAGACAGTGGGTAGGGGGCCCTTCATCCCAGAGTTGAGCAGCTCCAAGTGAGGAGTATGGAGAACATAAAACATCCGGGACCCGCTCCTTCCACCCCTATGCCCAAATTATCTCGATCGCTGCTGTTCCCACCAGGTTCCTCTCAAAGGACTGGTGCGTCTCCTGACCGGAACACACCGTTCATCCTGAGCCCCTTTTAGCCGGGATGAGTTTGACAAATTGTCCTTGTTCACACGAAGGCAGGGGGAATAACTCTTGGGAGTCAACAAATGTCTAAAGCACTGACAAAGAGAAAAAAGGAAAATCAATGAGAACCGCGGGCAGTCATAGGAACTGACTCAGGAGTCACTGATATAGCACGGTGCAGGTGGGAGCTCAGGACACAGTGGCCCTCCCACCCACCGGACAGGCCAGGATCCCATCAAGCAAGGGGCTCAACGCTGCAGGGTTTGGACCCCAATCTCTCTCACCTGTGCTTTGCCCTCTCCTAACTGTTCAAGTCCTCCCTATAAGGCTCTATGTTACTACAATAACCCAGCCCTGACCCACAGTGCCTCTAGGTGCCCTGGGAAAACCGCTATTAAGGACTACCCCAGATCCCTTTGAGAGCGTACTTACCCATGTTGAGGCAGTGGACCAGGCCTTCACCGCGAAAGGATACACACACTCCCTTGCCGGGCCGTGACGCCTCTACGCCAGCTGTTAACCTCAACACACCCGAGCATTCGCATACTCCTGATGTTGCGGGACGCCGAGCTCTCACAGCGGGATCACAGAGTCCAGGACCATCGCTCCTCTATCGGCGAAGAAAGCCTCCTGTCTCTACACCCAGAACAAACGATGGAAGTCCGGCACACAATTTTGGAACAGTGAGATGACATAGAACGAGTACGCCGACAGGTATGTTAGCGTGATGGAGAGACAGACTGAGATATTTTCACACCCGTAACGTCATTGTGGCGAGGGGGTGCTGAACGGCCAGAGATCAACGCGTGAAGCGCCGGGAGGCGGTGGCTTCTCACAGGTAAGCACCCGAGGAACTGATAAGAGACCCAGTTGGACAGAACCTTGAACCACATGGAGCGACAGAGCGAGACCGGAAAAAAAGAGGATTCCACAGAAGCTATTAAACGGGTTTGGAACACAGAGGGGATCACACCACTACGTGTTAGATGGTGCCGGTCGCGAACTAATCTTTCACCTCGAGAGCAGTGTGGTGGGAGGCTGCTGCTGGGGGGCGGAGGGCTCACAAAGGGCTCGGTCACGGTGGCCGTCTGTTTCCTTGCACGTAGACAAACTGAAGCACATTTGGATGTATAACTTAATATCTTTGTGGGTTTTTCTTCCTCCTTTATACCCCTGGCACTCCCATTATTCGAATCCTTTACCTGGAAAGCCTTGTGGTTCGGTTCTCATTTTAGCCTGTGTGGCTGGATGCGCACACTTCCATAGGAAAGACACAATACTGAATATTGGGAAACTGCATCCAGCACAGACACCAGCCCACTGGTGACTATATTACTCTTACCTGATGCAGGGTCTTCTTGCCCAGCCCCTGGCTGGGACTAGACACAGCCACATGCCCCTCAGCTTCCTCAACACCCATTGCCTCTTCT